TTCTCCTTAGCTAAGAATGAGGAAAGAACCATGTTCACTTACATTTCTCTTTCTTGCTTTAAACACCCATATTTTGGGCACTTTTGTGGATGTGCTGGTGCAGCGTGTCACAGCACAGCGAGGGCTGGCATTGTCCTGYGGTCAGTGGTCCGGGTGCCCAGGGCTGGGCAGAGACAGGGCCAGGGAATTGGAAAACAGAAATAGTCTGCTATGACACCAGGGACTTCCTGGCAGTGTGAGTCACTGTCTGYTCCCCAAAGCCTGCTCTGAGTTTTCCCTGGGATTTTGTGCTTTTCCCAGTAAATTCTGATGTGGCAGAGCTGTGGCATGCACTGACCTCTGGCTTCAAGTCCTGGCCTCTCAGAGCGATTGAACTGGACATGTTCTGCCCATCAAACCTCTGCTCCAAGACAGTTCTGTGGTCTAGCTCAGGGCAATCTAATTTAAGCAATACATGGATTTGGAAACTRTTGGGACTGCTAATTATCTTCCTGGAATAATACAAAATTTCAAACCAATGAGATATGAGGTCAGGTCCACTGCTAATGTAGGCATTTACACACAAAAATGTACCATTTTCACTTTGCAGAGAAGGGAACTGCTTTGTCTAGTTTGTTTCTTTGACCTTCATAAAGCATTAAAACATCCACCAGAAGGAATCTTTTTTTTTTTTTTTTTTACTTTGAAAGATTTTAATTTTGCATTGTTTTGAAGATATGTAAAGTGTTTTTTTTTCTGAGTTGAAGATAGGTTTATAATACTACTCCTTGTTTCATGGCGCTACCAACATAGAACCAAAGAGTACATAAAAGATCTTAATAAAATTTGCTTTCAATATTTTGGAAATAAAAACATCAGAAAACTGAGAGCAAACAATAAAAGTAAGGCAACAACATAGGCTGTTTTCTCCTAAAGCCTGCGAAAAAGTTGGTGATTAAAACTGAATAGAAAACTTCAGTTTTGTATACTGGAAGAAGTTTCTTACTTTTTGTTGTTGATGTTCAAGTTTGACACAAGTGTTTGCTTTGAAGAAGATTTTTGAAGGAAATCTAGAGRCTGATGACTAATCAAAGGGTGAGTGTGTTTACCAGGCACTTGCCAGACATCCTCGTTTTCTCTTGCATTCAGTCACATTCAGGTGAGAGAATTTATACAAACACTCTGCATTCCTGTGTACTTCCTACACATCCAATTATCACACAGCTCTTATTGCCTGCTTTGGGGCAAGGATTTGAGCCTTCCTCCAACACCCCCTTGGTGAATGTCCAAACTTCTGAGACTTTGCCTGGTGTTTTTCTTCACTCTTTTGCTCTATCTTATTTAATTTTATATATATTTTAATGTCTTATACCTTGGATAACCTARTGAGTAAAAATTCCATCAAAACARAAATGGATGTGCAATCAGMAAATGTTGTAATCCAAAGGTTATTATGGGACATASTACCTGATACATGTCCTGGAGTCTCCAGGAGGTCCCTTCTTACAATCCTAACATTAGCTGCTGGCTCTTTCTTCCCTCTTCAGTAAAAACAGGCTTTGGGCCAAGATTCCTTGGTCAGAACCAAGTTTCCCTMTTCTGTGCTGTGTCTTGTTGGCTGCTCCCACCAGTGCTGATGCATTTTGTGCCTGTCTGTGTACATCCACATCTGCAGCCAAGCTCTGACATGCTGCAGTATGTGCACCATTCCTCAAGTATGATGGGATCTTTCCCAAGAGAGTTGTATAGCTGTAAAACGTTTTAAATGCTCCACTTTTTTCCATAAATTAGGTTGTAACATCATTATTTTTGTGCCTCTCACACTGAACAAATTCCTTGTTATGATTTAGCAGGGATATTAACAGCCTGGTCATATTAACCATATGAGCAGAGGAGCAGGCTGAAGCCAGAAAGGAGGAAGGATGTGAAAAAAATTGGTGCTGGAACTAAGTGTGAGTGCCATCAATTCAGTCACTGGAAGGATTAGGATTAAGGCTTCAGTGTTAAACACATTAGCTTTAAACACCTCGATAGCCCTTCTGAAGTCATCGAGGGTTTTTACTGTGATTAAACAGCTGGGTTGAGTGCTGGCTTGTGAGCCTCAGTGCCTGTTATTTGTCTAGGACACACTGAAAATTTAGTTAGCACTCTGGGACTTTGTAYCAACAACATGGTTATTGTCATTTCAGTGATTCTTTGATCTCCAAACTGTGGATGTCCTCTTAGGTCTGTCCTGCAGCTTCCAGAGGCCTGTTTGTTCCTAATATTTTTATTTTATTGCACTTAAACACTAAACCACTGGGCAAATAAAACCCTTTGAGATTTAAGATTAYTTTAAATTTTATATTTAAGCTTTTTTCCCCCAGGCTGTTCAACATCRTATGTGTTCATTTGGTGTGTTTCAGCAAATGACTTTGCCCATCCCAGTTCTACATGCTTCCCCTGAACACACCATTACTGAACGCAGTTCCAGGAGAGGACTGTGCCATGTGGACAGTACATCTGAGAAGATGTTGATGTGTAGGACTTCACCATCAAACTAAAACAGCATTAAAAATATCCCAAGTAGACTTGAAAATCTGTGTCTGGGAAAGTGGGAAAACTGAARTTCTCCATAGTAAATGATTCACCAACTGTAAGAAAATACGGTGGCCAGTATAAAAAAAGKATTTTGGAGCTGCCTACTCTTGGGTATATTTTAGGTGCTGTTTTGGGGGCGTGGCAGAGTGTGTAACTGATACATTCTACAACTCCATTTCTATCTTTGGGAAGTTGCAGCTGGCATTTTAGAAATCAGCATGCCAAAATGCTGCTTCTGTCCCCTTGAGTACCTCCTTGAATGAAGGAGATCAGCCACCACAAGACCCCGTGTTGGCGATGCACTGCGCGTAGCACGGCGGTGAGCGGGGYGTGAGTGGATGTGACACTCTCAACGTGTGTGGCGCTTGTGACACTCACTGCCCAGGGCACGGCGTGTGATGTGGCAACTGGCACTGGCACAGCTCTGCCTGTGACGTGATGGGCTATAAAAGACCAGGTATTTCCCGGTGCCCACCAGAGGAAATCCGTGCTCAAGCACCGTTGTCATCAAGCTGGTGAATGTTTGTGTAATGATTTGTGTGCAGACTGTGTCCTGTCCTTCCCCACGGAGGAGGACCCAGCCAAGCTGAAGACGCTGCTGTGTAAGTACTGAGCCACCGCTGTGAGCAGTGGCAGGAGATCAGGTCAGCTGGAGCTTCTCCAAAGGGATCTGTGGAGTCGAGCCGAGGGCTGGGAGGGGAGGATCTCCAGTTCAGTCAGTGAGTTTTTGACCAGGCCTGGGCACCCAAAGAGGGAAAGTCTCGTGGCCATGGCAGATGCTGTGCCTCACACTCACCTGCACTACACTAAATGATAGATCTCTCCTGTAATGAAAGATAAGTATTCCATTAAAAGAGCAGGCACAGCAGCATTSCCGAAGAAATGGCTCAGCCCTACAGGAGGACACATTGCAGATAAATTAACTGTGTAATTCAAAATTTGCACAAATATTCAAGAACAAAAGTCATATTATGGTTTAAACTTGTTTTACTCAGAGTACTATCRATTGTATAAGGTAAGCACAGTTTTGTGATAAAATTATTTTATCCTGTTTTGCCCCTTTTTTAACAAAAATACACATGTTCTATATTCTATTATTTTTTTCTGTTTGAGTACATTATTTGTTATTACTTTTTCTGGTAGGCTTGCTTACATTTATTCCTTTGCTTTGTTCCCTGCTATGAATCTGAGCATTTGCATTATCTATTATCAGTGAACGCTAAATATACTTCATGCTTACRTGAGATCCTTAGAAGTTTCTATGGGGGCTCCTAAGCAAACCAGACCCCGGTTCTAGGGATGTGGAATATGCCCACTCTTGGCATTCTAAGACTCATGAATGAAAGGCATATGCATTATTAAATGTATTCAAATACTCTTMATAACAAACATCCATTTCCTTCATGAGCCACAAACGCTGCCAAAGTATTGCTGTACACATTTATTTTCATGACAAGAGCAGAAATGTACCTGGACAGCCCCTGTGAATATATCRTGTGTGTCTTTACTTGCACACAAATCCTTAATTCATGATCAGTGTGAGAAATAAATGTGGGGACACTCAAGGCTTAATTTGTGAAGTAAGWGCTGAGAGGAAGTTTGCTGAGCTGCAGGTATACAATGTGATATCCAAGACCAATGAGCCCTTTCAGAAGAGTTTACTATTAGTGATTTCTGTTCCAGTCTAAAGCCTCTGAAGACAAAACATTTTCATTTGTGAACACCCYACTAAACTCAAATGAAGCCACATTCTCAGCTTCAGAGGGGCTGTGACACGTACTCACAGCTAAACATATGCTAACCTCCACTTTTGGATCAGGATCACATTTTCAAGAATCCCACATGCATGAAAACAAGGAGTTTCTAAACTCTTGGTGTCTTCCAGTTAATGAAATACCACGGAGCAGGATAGGTTAATCCACATAATTCATATGGAGTTCATTAAATCATTTTAACAAAATTTAACAGTTATATTTAGCTTGATACTCAGAAATGTTAACACCCTGCTTTTAATGTGACAGATTGGATTTGGAAAGCAATATAAAACATGGGTTTCAGTGCGCAGAATTTTTTATTTCCACAACTTAAGGATKTTGTTAAGATCCATGTGCATTTTTAAGATCTATTCCATCATTTAAAATCCAACCAGTGCTAGATAGCCAAAACCATTTATCTTTATTAGCCTTTAGTGCTCTGGAGAAGTTAAAACAGGGATCTTTTATTACCCTTTTTTTTTTTTTTTCCTTAAAGAAGTAGTTAGAAGTAAAGACTAACTCTTTCAGTTGTTGGCACGGGGATTTTTATTCATCCAAGTGTTTCAAATAAATGTAAGCTAACTTTGCAAAGTAAAGCACACTCAATCTATGACCAAGACAGTTATTTGTATATTTTTCCCTCTTTTTTTTTCCCCCTTTTCTTCCTCCCTCCACTTCCCCCAATAGGTGACATGTATGCAGTGGTTGCAAGGGGACCATACGATGCTGGACATGATTGAAAAAAAGCGCTGCCTCTGCAAAGAAATCAAAGCTCGCCAGAAATCAGAGAAAGGACTCTGCAAACAGGACAGCATGCCTATTTTGCCAAGTTGGAAAAAGAATGCCGGGACCAAGAAATACAGCCCTCCTCCTTATTCCAAACAACAAACTGTTTTCTGGGACACTGCAATTTGACAGGCCTGTGGAGGATGCCCTCTGCACTGTGTTGCACCGAGCACAAGTAGCCTGCTTTCTTAATAAGGCAAAGGCTCTAACCTAAGACTTGCCTACAGGTGGTGAACTTCCAAGGAAAAAACACACTGATACAGTGCTCACCTGTCAATCAAGAGAGAGATTTAAGTTTCCAACTGGATTAAGGCATACATATTTATCCAGGATTTTTTTGGATCCAGAAGATATCAAAATGTAAATATTTCGCCAATATATTGAAAACGCCCAAACTAATACACTGTTTAAATATATAAATATATATATATAAATTCAAAAATTTATGGAGAATTTTACTATATAATGTTACTGTTATACTGTTTTATTACCTATTTTCTATGTTCTATTCTACTGTTCACCCCTGCCCCTGCTGCCACCATTTTATTTCTCTGACCTGCCTAGATGTGGCCTCTGTACAAAAGCATGTGGTTGTACGTGTTGTTGAAGAGGACAATGTACAAAACAACTCGGTGCTAGGGCTGTAGAAGATAATTAGAGTCRTACTTGTTAGATGTCCTTAGCGTTGGGGGGGAGGGATGGACAAAGGAGAGAGTTCTGCTGGGAAACAGCAAACCTGCAAGCGCTGAAAATACGAGTGCTCGATGTGGGTGCCCAAGTTGCATTTAAAATATTGTTCTGCATCTGTTCTCCCGTAACATTAATCAGATAAACTGCCCTTGGTTTTATATGAACCAGTTACTAAAATGATTTGGCCAAGGAACTAAATTTTCTGCAGCAAAGCCTGCGACRGAATCTCTTCCTTCGTGACGTTGCGTTGATTAGCAGAGACCATGGTTCACTGTGATAAGCATTGTACAGCCCCTGGCGGAGAGAGCCGGTCGCTCGGGGAGGAGGCCACTGCAGCCACCATCCCTGTCCACATTTACCGACGGTCCAGAAAATAAAGGCGACAAAATCTGTTTACATGTTTATTATTTTTAAATCCAGCAACACATCCTTACTTACGCTGTGTCAGATCTCCTCGTGTTGTTTCTGTGGGCTGGAATTCAGACCCTTTGAAAGGCAGTTGGGAAATCCCTCTCGATTTCATGCGGTTTTGAAGCAGAAGCCCACGTAACGTGTGCTCCCGGCAATGCCGTTTCTTCTTCCTGGCTGCTTCTGGAATTGGCTGGCAATCCTGTATTRTATTACACCCATTTTAACAGAATATTATGTCATGACCAAAGAATTATGACCTCCTGGTTTTAACRGGAGAAAGAGATGGCTTATGCCGATTATGAGGGTGAAATCTGTGCGGTGAAGTATCTTCCAAAAGGATCTGTTGAGAATGAGGGAAACTTGTACTGCAGTGGAGTAGGGGGGAAAAAAAAGATCTATGGCATATATTTTGTATATTAAAATTTCTATCTGTGTTTGAAGTTTGGTAGTACAAAATTCCCTCTTTAAAGCAATCATTTTGATGTTATATTTGCCAAGAAGAAAAGGTGTGTTGTTTGAAACTTCATGTTGTATTGGCTTTTCTTTGAAATTATATTGACAGCATTGCCACAGCTGTAATTGCTGATCAAAAAAGACCAAAAATAACAAATTTTAGAAGGTTTTTGTAATCTATATTGCTAAAGTTTGAGTTTCAGTAATGCTTTATCAGTAGTAGTTTCTTTTCAGCCTCTGAAATAAAGTTTTTAAATATTTTATAACTAATTAACTAATGTATATTTTGATGTCCAAACTGAGATTTCTGTAAAAGATGAAGTGTGTGTTTATATGTGTGTATGTAGATTAGCATTATTGCATATGTATATATGCATATGTGTACACACATATACATGTATATATGCATGTATCTATATATACCCATAGATGTGTGCATACGTATATATCTGCATACGTTAAATATTGGTGTGTCATGAGTATACAGTGGCTGGAATAGGTACAGAATCGAAATGCAGGTTTGAAGACCCCCTCACAGCCAAAATGACAGAAGACATGGAAAAACCCAGAGGCTGTGTGGGAATCTTTGAATACATGTTACATCCAAAAGACACCAACTGTATATTCTGCTTATTCTCTTTTTTTTAAAGAAAGAAAATGGCAGAAGAAAAACTCCAGAGATCTCGCAAAGTTCCAGAATTTGCTGGAAAGAAGACAACTTGTTGGTCATGAGAAATCTGTTGAGATAACAGGTTCATTATTCAGCAAGTGTTCATGCTTTGTCTTCCTTGTAATGTGGCAAGAGAAGAATTTTCCATATCCATGTGTGAAATACTTAGCTCAGCCCTTTCCCCCAACTGCACCAAGTCCCTGGTGACAAAACGCAAGGCGGCGTTCAGTCAGTTGTGACACTCGCTGCCCTCCCTGGTTCCCTCCCGGAGCAGTTCTGTCAAAGCCGCGCTGGCAGTGCAGACCCTGGGCACACCCCTGGGGSAAGGCAGGTGTCAGTGTGAACAGTTCCGTGTTTGGTGGTGTTTGTTCATATCGTGTCCTTTCCATATCCAGGTGTAATAGGAAAAATGATCAGGGAATTGAAGCATTCTTGTCCTAAGCAGACTTGCTTGTACACTTAGCCCACCGCAAACTCCTTGTTTTGCTTTTATTGATCAACACTGTTTATGTTGTCCTTCCTAAATAACTGCCCACGTGCTTCCAGAGCTCCATTGTATCCCATGGAAACAATGGCTTTTTGTTTTAAAGTGCGACAACATGAAAATTAAAATATAACTTAGCACTTACCTTCAAAGCACTTTAGAAAGGTGAAGTAAACCTCATGCTTGCGAGAGCTGTTTTACTGAGGAGGGACGTGAGGCTCAGGTGGAGGAGTTCCCAAAGGTCAGGGACAGAGCCAGAACAGGACACAGCCACTGCCCTGTCCCGTGACTGCTGGCCCACCCCATGGCTCGAGTAAAAGGCACATCGTCCTGCGAGAGCTGCCATCACAATGCTGTCAAACATTCCTGCATCTCCTCTTGTCTCAGCAGCTTCGTGTCACAGGGTGAATGGCAGTGCTTAGTTACACACGCTCATTAAAGCTGTAGTCTGTATAAATATGCAATCTGTATATACATACAGATCACATATATACACACACTTATGGAGACTGTATATATGAAATTGTTTGGTATGCACTTATTTTGCTTTAAACTCCTGAAGTTAAACATTATAGTGTAGCAATTTGTGTAAGGTGCACTGTGATTTCAAGAAAGCACAGTAAAGTCACAGGTCTTGTTATTCTTGCACTAAAAATGTGTTTACGTATATTAGCCAATGTATGTCTACTTTATCGCTCCTTTTGACAGATTAAAGCAAATGGTATAAAATAGTATGGGGTTTTTTGGTTTGGGTTGTTTATTTTTAAGTGGACAATGGCACTATGTTTTTAAATGACAGGGTTTTTAAATAAAATGAAATCATTCTGTGTTCATTCCGATGTAATACATTTACCAATATCTTGAAACTGAATGTCATGTTGCTTTTTTTTATATTTCATTAGAAATTGTCAGGTATGTGCCTGARATTGTGTAGGACTAAGGAGTAGCTAGAGGCTAACTGTAATCATATATTATTAGCCGTTTCTATATACACAGTATAAATACATATTAATTTTCTTTTCATTTTTGTACTTGATTTTTTTAGGTAAGATGTAATTAAATGTACTTTGATACTTCTGAGGTAATAAGATGTTGTTTGAAGATCAATTCTGCTTTCTTTAGTGCATTGACAATATTTTACAATAATTTAGTGCTTATTTATTTGTGCTCCAGTGTAATTATAATAAAAAGCAATAGTTTAAAATATTTGGMTGTTCATTGTCATTTGATGTTTAAAGTTTAGAGACAGGTTGTTCACTAGGGATTAGCCAGAGATTCCTAGGAAGAAAAGTCAAGTCATGGATGCATATTTATATCATTCCCTAGGCATATTTTAATCACACCATTTGTTGGAGGAAATGAATTAATTGCTTTAATAGGTTAGTATTTGCAAGTCATGCCCGGTTGCATCTAATGCCATGAGTGCCATCCTCAGCTAAATCCTTAGGATACAATTTCTCTGAAGAGCAGATAAATTTTTGTGTAAGCACCTTTCACAGTTTGGGATGGCAGATGTTCACTTCAAAGACATCCTCTTCAGAGATCTCCATGCGTAGGATGTCCCCAAATGGGAGAGGGACCTATCACACTCTYCACAAAGCTCTAAAAATCTGCTTAAAAGTAAGCATAATCTTTATGTTTCCAGATAAAAACTTCAGTCTTATTAAGATGTAAAACCCAGCCATTGCAGAGGAGTTCCACAACTTTTTTAAGAAGACATCCCCCCACRTATTTTTAAGAAAGCACTTTGTTATTTTAAAAGGTTTCCAAGAACAAGTACGCAAGTAGTTAATAAAGAACCTAGTAAGAAACAGTCATGTTCTTGCTGTGGAGCTGAGACCATATTTCTCTCCCTTCAGGAAAAAAAAACTGCCTTTAATATGCAAAATAGGTACTCTCCATGTCTATACAGATCTGTATGCAGAAGTGCACTGGAGGCAGGGAAAATTCTGGTTGTCTTCAGCAGGAGCTGGTTCTGGGGCAGGTTGCAAATGATCCAGAAAGTGCTTTCCAAGTGCTTCCCTGCCCCAGGAGTCCCCTGCTTTCCCAAGGCTGAGCCTCTCTCTCCTCAGCAGTGACCTCATTGTCAGGGCCCATGTATAGGATGAAGAGCTTGGTAACTCTTCATGCTCCTCTTCCTTTCCCCAGCCCCTGACATGGATGTTCGGAGTGGCTCATCCCCTAAAGCAAAGTCCAGCCTTTTTCTCTCAGGCTCTATGTTGTGTATGAAGACCCCATACAGATGACTAGAAATTAACAGAACACTGTTTTACAGAGATGCCTCCAGACCTAAAAGAGGAAAAGAGATTCTGTCACATTGTCAGATTGATGTCTGTGCTCTCCAGCTGACAAAGAACTGTGTCCTAGCTCACTTCTGAAAGCTTGCTGTGGTGACTTCCAACATTCACCTTACTCCACATGGCATTCCTGACCACTGCTGGAGACAGCAGCACCAGAACAGAAAAGAAGGATTGCCAAAGGCATCAGGGAGTATAAATATGGGGCAAATTCAGACTTTACCCTTTTCAAAATATGTGTATCCTCTTTCGAGGCCACTGCAGAAACACTTTTATATGCCATTGTTTCTTAAACAGAAGAGGTTTAAATTAAAAGGAGACAAGACCATAAAAAGCAACAGTTGAGTTTTACACTTGTATGTGCTCRAAGTTTATTTAGAAGTGGAAAGGTGCCTGCAGTGCTCTATCTTGGGTCTCTTTCCTTTTGCATTTTGAAAGCYATCACAATACCACTGGCTGGAGTTGCTGCTGTCTCTCCTACAGTCACTCAGAGTGACCCCAGCTGGTGCCAGAGTGGCTGAGAAGCAATTAAAGCACAGAGGRGCCTGTCTTACTGGGAACAAGTAACCTGCCCTGAGCACAGCAGGGAAGTCCAGCAGCCCTTAAAGGGAAGATGGGCCAACATCTCTCAGATCTATGGCCAGCAGTCACAGAGCTGGCAAGGGAAATGCAGGGAACTAAATAAAATTTACAAAAACAGCACACAACTGAAAAGGAGCATTGCTCGAAGGCAAGGCTGAACACATTTGGCATTTATTTTCTAAACCTGCCATCATCTCTTTTATGGTGCTTTATTTTTATCCTTTAAAACAAGCTTCACACCTGTCACCTTTTAACTTAGATTTTGGCACTGGGGTGGATTTCAGTGTTTTCCCCACTTGTGGCATATTTTATCTTCTTTTGTCTCCTCTCTGTTTCAATTCTTTCTTTCATGATGTGTTTTAGGAACTACATTTGCAGGTACAAGACTTCCCATCATCTTTTTTTAACCCATTAATGTTGTTTTCTACCTCCCCCGTTCTCATCTGGCTCTGTGCTCTCTGACCCTCACAAAAACACACGAGAAGAGCAGAAGGAAGAACAACCATGGATTTTCTTTTAGAGAGTAGGATTTACCAATGCTGTTCTTGGTTTCACAGAGGGCTGGGGAAAAAGAAATGGGTGGGAATGTGGGGGAAAACACCGAGCTTCAGCCTCTGGCACGGGGGTGTGGCAGCAGGGCCAGTGACAGTGACCCTGCAGTGAGCCAGGCAGGTCCCTTTCCCTGGCACAGGTGACACCCGCCAGGAGTCACCTCCTGTGACAGGTTCTTGGTGGCCATGGCAGCGTGCCGTGTTTGGGAAGCAGGGAAAGCGCCCGCCTGTCAGCCCCGAGGAGAGGAGCCTGCWCTGCCTCAGCAGCCGCTCCTGAGTGAATGTCTTTGGTCCTGCTCTCCATGACCTTGTACTTTCTTTGGACATTAACACCTCTGAAAAGTGGGTGTTAAATGGTGCTGTTAGTGTCTGTAACGTGGTTTTACATCCACTTGAGAAGTGTAAATGATTCTACAAGGTGCAGAGCACTGGAAAATCAGCTTTCCCCAGGCTCCAGCTGGCTGGGGAAATTCAAATTAACTCCTGCAGAATCCAGCTCCTACCAAAGAGTTCTTTCCTTTCCCAATTTCTTCAGAGTTTTTTTTTACTGTTCCTGTAAACACAACAACTGCATAGCTAGTATGTTTATTTTTCTAGTTTAAAGAGGCTGAGATGTCCCTGGCCAAGCAGGAAAAGACATTCACTTTCTGCCTGGCTTTTGAGCCCATTTGAGGATTTTGTCACAGTTTCTGCTGACRTATGTGGCCCATCCAAGAAGTCCAYGCTTTCTTTTCCTGGCTCTTACCCTGTGTGTGGGATGTGGTGGCACATATCGTAGATGGAATAAGCTGACAGGAGTATAAATCTCCACTACATTGTCTGAATTAATACTCTGAATTTACGGCTCAGAAAAATGCTGAACGTCCTTCATAACAGCAGGGTTTGAAATKAACTAAGTAACATGTCAGATTCTTATTTTTATCTTTTCCAAAAGTTTCATAGTCCTTTACTTTCCATCTGTTTCAGGAATTCAAGAGCAAAAAATAATCAGAAACTTGGTACCTAAAGAAATTTCAAATTCTGACAAGTTTGAATCCAATAGAAAAGCAAACTTGTGTTCATGCTTTCTTTACTTCCATAAGAAAGCTTTCTTACTGCCTATTTAATTYCCACAGAGATGCTGTTGCTTATGTTAACAGGATTCTACCACATATAAATCACTTTTCTGTCCTTCTCTCTCTGAGAAAGAATGAATATGTGGTGCTTTTCACTCAGGTTTTTCCTTCTCGGCGTGTCCACAAGATAAATGAGTGCTCTGTCAAGTGAGGTTAGTGGGTTTAAGGAAGGGAAAGATTGTTTAGTGTTTTGGTGTGGTGAAATATAGCACTTAATGTACACATTCTGCTAGTTCAAGGCATGTTTTAGGAAAGTTTTATACTGTTTCCATGACAAATTAATAGGAAATGGAACAAAACGCTGACTCAGAATTTTAGCTTGTGACAAAGTGTTCTCTGTCCTTCAAACTTTATCYTGACTGAAGAGCATAAGATAGCACAACCAAGAAGAATAATTAATGGTACATTTACTGCTGTTCTAGGATAGACAAATACACTTGTATCTTTACTCTGGACTGAAAATATTTCATACATCTTTGATTTATCTTTGGGTAGGCTGCTAGTGGCTCTCTGATWCTGTCAAAGATACATCAAAGCCTTAATGAAGGATTGGTGTCAACTTACCCCACTATTTCAGAGAACATTTTAAAACATTGCAGACCTCAGCCTCAAGTATTCCTTTGCCTCTTCTCTCCATTTTTAAATTCAGTCCCATTTTCTACAATGTGCACCTTACAGATGCTTTCCACGTTCCTGCTATTAGCTAGTTTGCTATGAGTCTTTTGTGTTGGGTTTGGGGTTGTAAGTCCTGTTATAAGTTTTTATACCCTGACACTCTTTCATAAACCTTTGAAATAAGGGATAAATTAGTTTGCCATGACAAGGAATAGGCATATCACACATCTATTCAAGTATGTATGTGTGTGTATGTTAAAACCAAAATGGGTCTCTGATTCTATAAGTGCTTCCAGAGAAGAACAAGAAAACATGTGCCTTTTTGGCATTCTGGTCCTTCACATTAAGGAAGTCTCATACCTATGTTACGACAGCTCCAGCTTGGAATCCTAATTTGAAGATGTCATTCATTTGCCATACATTTAGGCACTTATTTACTTAGACATGTGAGCAACTTTCTTTTAGAGAGTTCAAGAAATGGCATTACATGCTCCCACAGAATTCAAACAGCAGAATATGCCGTAGCTTAACAAATTATTATTGTTTTAAAAGAAAATAGGTTTCAATGTCACAGTTGTCAAGTGCTATTTGATGGATGTAATCCTGCAATGGAATGTGAAACTTTAACATAGTGTCTTCTTTTAAAAACTCTTCTGAGGGGCATTAAGCTCTAGTGTATCTAATTAATGCTTTAAATATTCTTTCCTATCAGTTCAATCTTTATCTATCTCTGTGCTGCCTTATTACTTGGTATGAACTGCTCATTGAAATCGATTGTTCCTGGTCTTTTCAACCGTTGATTGTTCTTTCATGGCTGAACATTTTAAAATAACAATATTGATTTTTCTTACATTATAGCCCTCCCCATAAGTCCTAACTAGAGACTGTCACTGTGGCCTAAGAACATGTGGGGACACTTAGCAGTTCTGAATTYAGAATGAAAAAGGTATGTTTTGTGCAGTATTCATCCAAGCATGGATCTTAAAACAATCAGTCCTAGGATTCTATCTTRAAACAGTGTTTTGGTTTCTTTTTCTT